CAGACAGACACAGAGAACAGGGGAAGATTGGACGGGGGGAGAGAGGGGGGGGGGGGTCACCTGGAACTTGGCGACACAACAAGTCAGACAACCAATTGTCAAGAGAGCAAAATCACCAACCCAATCTCAACACAACCCACAAAATTGGAACAACAGCAGGCAACCGGGTGATCGCGTTCGGCTTGCTTCTCTTTCTGTCGCTGGTTGCGCTTGCCCAAGACCCTATTCGGGAGACTACGATTGAAGTCCGCTGCACCCAACACACCCCAAACGACTTTTCAAACCTTCTTCCACGCCAAGGCCGCCCGCTGGTAGCTCTTAGTGGCGTGCTCATCCTGGGCCTCTCTGCTGATGCCGTAGGCAGACGAGCACTTCTCGGCGCAGATGCCCATGTGGTGGTCGTTGTACACGTCCCACAGCCCGTCATGGATGATACCTATCTTGCAGGTTTGGGCGTGCAGCTGTATCAGATAAAGAATCTATGATACACGTCCCGCAGCCTTCACATCGAAACGTAAAGTAACATCATTAGAGAAAGAAAAATAAAAAGGTGTGGCAGACGAAACCAAGGATGGAGCGTGCGTGCGTGGTCATGGTGGCCGCGGCGTGGTTCCTGGAGCCGTCGAGTTGTTACGAGGAGTTCCTCCCGTCGGCGGGGAACAAAAGAAAGTTCCGGGAATGCTGCAAGTGGTGATCTGCCATCCCCTCAAGGGCATGAAAATCATCTTACCAGGCGCTGCGACTTCTCGCGTCAACTCGTACGGTACGGCGCCACGTCAACAGCCTTTTGGACCTCTCGTGCAACTGGGTTGTACAACACTGTCTCTCTGCCGGCATTTTGGTTTGACCGGTGTAATGTATCCAACCCTAACTGCAACAAAAAGCAAAATAATCTACGGGGCCCCTCTGGGGAAGGGACGTCCTTGCCTCATGACTCAACAAGAGAGAGTGAGACAGACACACCCAGAGAGAGATGGCGACAGACAGAGACAGAGTCATTGGGCAGAGACAGACACACACGAACAAGAGTCACAGACACAGCTGGAGAGAGACTCACCGTCGACGACGGTACCGTTCCCGAGGCGAAGACCGCTCCTCGCCTGGGGAAGGTAGTACGGCACGTTCGACATGCTCTCGAAACCTCCCGCAACCATCACCCCTCGGTGGCCCAGCGAGAGGCTCTGAGCTGCCAGCATCACCGACTTCATACCGGACGCGCAGACCTGGTTGTTCCCGGCGTGTGCAACAAGCGGGACAGGGAGCGTTTCTACCATTAGCCTGCTTGGTTCCCTCCTTTTGTGTACGGAAGGAGCTTTACAGGTGGGTGTGTCCCTGGCCCTGCTTGCTCAGCGGAATGACCGGTTCGGTCAGTACGCCGCCTTCTTTGAGATAACGACAAGCAATGCCATCCTTAGGTCCAAAAGGTACACCGCTGACCTGCTGCCCCGCCCCAAGCGCTACCGCCGTGTCCCGATGTAGTTTCCGTGTATTAATCCTAACCCTAACCCTCCTACTCCTACGACAAAGCGGCGGCGGTGGTATCGTCGATGCCAAGAGCAACCGTCACAACGAACAGCACCCACCTTGTTTATCGTTGTGCACGGGACGGACTCGGGGAGCCCTGCGGAGAAAAGGCGTGATTTGACAGGTAAAAGGGGGGTAGGAGAATGATTATTTTCTGGCAATCGCAAAGAAATGAAATACCCCCATCCTATGTGCAAACAACAACAACAACATGGCAGCCTGCACCGACTTGCTGCTTGCCTGCGAAGATTGCCGCCTGCCTCGCTGGCGCCTGGCCCGCCCCTGCGCTGACCACGTTGCCCATGAAGATCTCCTCAACGAGAGCCGGCTCTATCCCTGGGTACAGAGCGTATCGCGACCACGGCGCGAGCACGCGAGCACAGGCATTCTGAACCACCTGGAGCTAGTTTCGTTTTGATGAGTCAACAAGAGTAGTCTGCCATCAAGTCCTCGACACACGAGCTTCAGCATTCCCGCCGCAGACTAACCTAGAGTATCCCATCAAGTGCTGTTGTTGAGCCGCGGTGGTCGGGGGGGGGGGGGGGGGGGGGGGGGGG